CCACCTCAGCATCCCCTGCTCTCCTGGTTTATCCCAGCGGGTGGCGCTCTCTAGGCCCCTACCCTCAGGCCCTTGCTCCCAGTCCCTCCTCCTGGAAGCCATCCTTGATTCCGGAAGACCTGAGGGATAGGCAGGTGCTAAACCTGGTATCCTGGTCCAACCAGGTGGTTCCCAGCTCAGGAATCCCAGACAGGACAGTTCTTCCCTGGGTGTCTGGGGCTCCCACCACTGGCTCCCAAAGCACCTTGCACATGCTGGCCCCTCTCTCCTGGGCTCTTACCCAATGCATCACATGGCTGTCTTCTTCCTATTCCTCCAGGTTCATGTCCTCGCGTTGGCCTTTCTTGACCCCCTGTCCTAGGAGGCTCCCCTATCTGGTCCCCGTATCTTGCCTGCTCATTTCTTTACTTGTTTTCCTGTGCATTAACTGTCTCCTCACAAGACTGTGCCCTCATGAGGGCAGAGTTGCTTTGCCTGTGCTATATTCCAGAACTTAGGACAGCACCAGGCAGGTGCCCAGTTAAGTACCTGCAGAAGACTGGCCCCCTGCCCCACACTGCGGGGGTCTCTTTGCAGATGTGAGGAGGGGTGGGGGTAGCCAGACCCCTCTTCCCTTGCCTTCTGCTGAGCCCTGGCTGAACATCAGGTACTTGACATTCTGCTCTTCAACTTCACAGCCACCCTTCATGGTAGGGAGTACTACCGGCTAAATATGTCCCCACAACACGTGATCCTATGCTCTCAGAGGACAGTAGTTCATTAATACTGGTATCAGTATCAATCAACACTTAAAATTTGAAAAAATGGCTACACTTACATGTGTGCAAAACAGGCTCTATACGTCCAAGGGAGTGTATCATGACACTATACAGAAGAGAAAAATGGCCGGGCATGGTGGCTCACACCTGTAATCCCAGCACTTGGGAGGTCAAGGTGGGTGAATCACCTGATATCAGGAATTCAAGACCAGCCTAGACAATATAGTGAAACCCCGTCTCTACTAAAAATACAAAAAGTTGGCTGGGCATGGTGGCTCACACCTATAATCCCAGCACGTTGGGAGGCCAAGGCGGGTGGATCATTTGAGATCAGGAGTTTGAGACCAGCTTGGCCAACATAGTGAAACCCCATCTCTACTAAAAATACAACAATTAGCTGGGCATGGTGGTGGGCGCCTGTGGTCCCAGCTACTCAGGAAGCTGAAGCAGGAGAATCACTGGAACCCAGGAAGCGGAGGCTGCAGTGAGCCAAGATCTCACCACTGCACTCCAGCCTGGGTGACACAGCAAGATGCCATATAGAGGAAAAAAAAAAAAAAAAAAAAAAAAAAAAAGCTGGGCCTGGTAGCAGATGCTTGTAATCCCAGCTACTTGGGAGGCTGAGGCAGGAGAATCGCTTGAATATGGGAGGTGGAGGTTGCAGTGAACCGAGATCACACCACTACACTCCAGTCTGGGTGACAGAGAGAAACTTCATCTCAAAAAAAAAAAAAAAAAAATGCTAGAAGGAACCTAAACACTCCTCAATAGGGCAAGCTAAACAAATCATAGAGCATCTGTCAAAGGAATACAATGTAGCTATTAGAAAGAATGTGTTGGAGAGAGATCCAAGATGGCTGATCACTAGCAGCTCCGATTGTAGCTCCCAGTGAAAGCGCAGAGAACAAGAGGATGCCACACTTTCAGACGAGTATCTGTTGCTCACGCACCAGGAGATTCCCAGCAGAGGAGCCCCACGGGTCGCCAGCGCGGCTCTTGTGGCGGCGAGGCGGTTTTGCCGCTGCCTTGGTGCAGCGGTTCTTGGTGCAGAGTCAGAGAAACACCATCAATCTTAATGCCGCTGTTTTGGCTGGCGCAGTGGGTTACTCAGATTTTAGTGCTGGGAATCAACAAGATGGACGTCCACTCAGAAACCCAACTACAAAGATGGTAATTATAAAGACCACAGATGGATAAATCTATAACGAAGGGAAGAAACCAGCCTAAAAAGGCTGAGAATACCCAAAACCAGAACGCCTCTCCCTCTACAGGGGATCACAGTTCCTCATCAGCAACGGAACAAGGCCTGATGGAGAACGAGTGTGTTCCAATTACAGAAGCAGGCTTCAAAATGTGGATGATAAAAAACTTCTGCGAATTAAAAGAACTTGTTCTAACCAATGCAAAGAAACTAAGAACTTTGAAAAAAGGTTTGACGAAATGCTAACAAGAATACACAATTTAGAGAGGAATATAAGTGAATTAATGGAGCTGAAAAACAACACGAGAACTTCGCGAAGTATGCACAAGTTTTAACAGCCGAATTGATCAAGCAGAAGAAAGGATATCAGAGGTTGAAGACCAACTTAATGAAATAAAACGAGAAGACAAGATTAGAGAAAAAAGGATAAAAAGGAATGAGCAAAGTCTCCAAGAAATATGGGACTATGTGAAAAGACCTAATCTACACTTGATAGGTGTAACTGAATGTGACAAAGAGAATGAATCCAAGCTGGAAAATACGCTTCAGGATATTATTCAGGAAAATTTTCCCAACCTTGCAAGGCAGGACAATATTCCACTCCAGGTAATACAGAGAACACCACAAAGATATTCCTCAAAAAGACCAACCTCAAGGCACATAATTGCCAGATTCACCAGGGTTGAAATGAAGGAGAAAATACTGAGGGCAGCAAGAGAGAAAGGTCAGGTTACCCACAAAGGGAAGCCTATCAGACTTAAAGCAGATCTCTCAGCAGAAACCCTATAAGCCAGAAGAGAGTGGGGACCAATATTCAACATCCTTAAAGAATATTTCAACCAGGAATTTCACATCCAGCCAAACTAAGCTTCATAAGTGAAGGAAAAATAGAGTTTTTTTGTGAACAAGCAAGCACTCAGATTTCATCACCACCAGGTCTGCTTTACAAGAGCTTCTGAAAGAACCACTACACATAGAAAGGAACAACCAGTATCAGCCTTTCTAAAAAATACCAAAAAGTAAAGAGCAACAACATAATCAAGAATTTACATCAACTAATGGGCAAAACAGCCAGCTAACATTAAATGGCAGTATTAAACTCACATATATTATTATTAATTCTAAATTTAAATCGACTGAAGCTCCCAATCCAAAGACACAGACAGGCAAAAAAAGCCAAAACCCATCGGTATGCTGCATCCAGACCCATCTCACATGCAAGGATACACAAAGACTCAAAATAAAGGGATGGAGAAAGATTTACCAACCAAATGGAGAGCAAAAATAAATAAATAAATAAAAAGCAAGAGTTGCAATTTTTGCCTCTGATAAAATAGACTTCAAAGCAACAAAGATCATAAGAAGCAAAGGAGGACATTACATAATGATAAAAGGATCAATGCAACAAGAAGAGCTAAAGATCCTAAATATATACGCACCCAATACAGGAATACCCAGATATATAAGACTCATAAAGAGACTTAGACTCCCACACAATAATAGTGGGAGACTTCAACATCAATATTAGACAGATCAATGAGACAGAAAATTAACGATATCCAGGATTTGAACTCAGATCTGGAACAAGTAAACTTAATTAACATTTATAGAACTCTCCACTTTAAATACACAAAATATACACTCTTATCAGTACCACATAACACCTGTTTACAGGCTTAAATGAAATATTGGTTGACTGCTTGTTTATTATTTTCTTCCCTCATTTTTTTTCATGTCTTTATTATTAAGCACAATTATAGGCATACCCATTTTTAGACTGCATTCTAGCCCGGGCAATAAAGCAACACCCCCATTCTCTCTCCCTTTTTCTCTTCCTCTTTCTTCCTCTTCTTCATTAAAAAGAGAGAGAGAGAGAGAGAGAGAGAGAGAGAGAGAGAGAATGTGTCAACTGTCAATATGAAACAGTCCCCGAGCTCTATTGCTAGGTGAAAAAAAAATTCACAATAGTACATGGTGTGCTACTATCTGTATCAAAAGAGGGTTGCAGGCAGGGTGAGGTGGCTTATGCCTGTAATCCTAGTACTTTGGGAGGCCAAGGCAGCAGGATCACTTGAGGCCAGGAGATCAAGACCAGCCTCGATCTCTACAAGAAAAATGAAAAATGAGGCAGGCATGGTGGCATGTGCCTATAGTCCCAACTAGGAAGTTGAGGCAGGAGGATCACTTGAGCCCAGGACATCAAGGCTGCAATGAGCTTTGATCACACTACTGCTCTCCAGCCTGGGCAACAGACCAATGCCCTGTCTAAAACAAAGAAAAGTTTTTAAAAAAGGGATTGCAGATACATAATATCCTTGCTCATGCAGAGAAAATTTCTCCTAAGACAAACCAGAAATGGTTACCAGTCATTACTTCTTGGGATGTAAAGTAGGGAAAGGATGACAATATGAATCATTTTTACTGCAGGCTTTTTTGAATTTTTGTTATAGCTATTGAGGTTTTTAAAATTAACTAATGTATTTATTTTTTTAAATAGCCCAAATTTAAAAGGTATGAAACAATTTACAGTAAAATCTCCCTCCAACACTGTGTTCTCTGGCTGCCACAGGTAACCATGGTTATCAGTTTCTTTTTTTTTAGAGATGGAGTCTTGGTCTTGTCACCCAGGCTGAAGTACAGTGTCACAATCCCAGCTCACTGCAACCTCTGCCTCACGGTTCAAGTGATTTTCCTGCCTCAGCCTCCTGAGTAGCTGGGCTTAAAGGCACACACCACCACACCTGGCTAATTTTGTACTTTTAGTAGAGATGGAGTTTCACCATGTTAGCCAGGCTGGTCTCGAATTCCTGACCTCAGGTGATTCGCCCACCTTGGCCTCCCAGCATGCTGGGATTACAAGTGTGACCCACAGCACTTGGCCTGTTATCAGTTTCTTATGTGCATGGTAAACTCACTCATTAGATTAGTTTTTTTAATTAAAAGAGGAAAAAAGTGTCAAGGCCACAGAATACAGCTCACATGGATGGAAACTGCTCAGGAGCGTGATGGGCCCCACCCAGGCAGGACCCTGAGTTACTCACAGTTTAGGATGATCTGGGCAGCCCTGTAGAGCTCCAGGCGGCACAGGAGGTCCAGGAGCTGCTGGACTGTGGCCTGCCGCATTCCCCACCACCACAGCAGCTCCCTCGTGATGCTCACGCCCTGCACCCGCTCCATGGACTTGATCTTCCGCAGCTGGGTCAGGTCTGTGATCACGTAGGAGGCTGGAACGGAGGGAGAGGACCCTGCTTAGAGTCAAAGAGGCAGTCCCTTCAGGAGAGGTACCCACGCTAGCTGCTAGCTGGGGTTTTTCAGGACATCCTCCTCAAATGCCCCCTCCACACTGGAAACACCACGGTAAGCTGAGGTCCACAGGTGGCCCAAGTTACAATGCTGACTCTGCTGGACACCCATGGGGTCCAGTACACAAGACTTAGCAGAAAGACCACGGGACAGCAGGGTCCAAGCCTTGAGCACTGGCTGCTGCTATGCCTGGGGCAGTCGGCATGCCTGGGGGAGTCTCAGTGAGTACCAGCTCTGCCTGCCTCCCCTTCTAGATGGAAAGCCCGTATAGGCGGGGAGCGCTACCTGTTTGGTTCACTGTTACTTCCCCAGAATTGAGAATAGTGCCTGGCTCAGAGTGGAGGCGGGGCCAGGACGAGGGTGAGTCAGGTGAGGCACCTAAGGAAGGAAAATGCAGGAGGCGCTGACTTTCAGGTGGCACCGCAGGACCCTGAGCATCTGAGCCTCCTTACATTTTGCCCTGGCATCTCATTCCTGTCAGCTAAGTCCCAGTCCTGGTCAGAGGAATTCAACAAGCATGTGAGGTTGGGTGCAGCAGCTCACACCTGTAATTCCAACACTTTAGGAGGCCGAGGAGGGATTGCTGGAGCTCAAGAGTTCAAGACCAGCCTGGGCAACATAGCAAGACCCTGTCTTTACAAAAAATAAACAAAGTAGCTAAGCATGGTGGTATGCATCTATAGTCTTAGCTACTCGGGAGGCTGAAATGGGAGGATCACTTGAGCCCAAGAGTTGGAGGCTGCAGCAAGCCACGATGATGTCACTGCACTCTAGCCAGGGCAACAGAGCAAGACCTTGTCTCCAAAAACAAAAAAAGCTACAGCACGTGAATGATTGAATGAAAAAACACAAACCTATATACCACATTGTCTTCAGAGAACTGTTACAAGGATCAAGAAAGCCATGGATACAAAAACACTTAGCCACTTCTGAACTACGAGTCAAAACTTGAAGGGTGCTACCACTGGTAACAGTAAAAATAATGCATTCTTTCTTTTTGTGTTTTACCATAAAATTAATGGTTGTTCACAAAAAAAAAAAAAAAAAAAAAAAAAACCATGGACAACACGGGGGGGAAAGTTACACAGCATCCCACGATCCTCCTAAGGCCACTAGGGTACTTCCCCTTTCCAAAAATCACCCCTTCTACATAGATGTGGCTTTGGTTATAGTTGTGCCACACTGCAGGTAACAGTTTGTATCTTTTTTAAGAGATGGCTTCTCACTATGTTGCCCAGGCTGGTCTTGCACTCCTCGCCTCAAGCAATCCTTCCACCTCAGCCTCCTAAAGTGCTGGGATTGCAGGTGTGAGCCACCGTGCCTCACCTGAGATTCTGCATCCTGGTCTTATTTATTAACATTATGCCATAGGGACTGGACACAGTGGCTCACGCCTGTAATCCCAGCACTTTGGGAGGCTGAGGAGAGTAGATCACCTAAGTTCAGGAGCTCAAGACCAGCCCGGCCAACATGGTGAAACCCTGTTCCTACTAAAAATATAAAAATCAGCTGGGCATGATGGTACACACCTGTAATCCCAGCTACTTGAAAGGCTGAGGCCAGAGAATTGTTTGAATCCAGGAAGTGGAGGTTGCAGTTAGCCAAGATTGTACCACTGCACTCCAGCCTAGGCAACAGAGGGAGACTCTGTCTCAAAAAAACAAAAACAAAAACAAAAACAAAAAAAAAACAAAAAAAAAACCATAGGCATCTTCTGATCTGTTACAAGCTCTTCATAAAAAAGTAAAAATTGCCAGGCGCGGTGGCTCACGCCTGTAATCCCAGCACTTTGGGAGGCCGAGGCGGGTCACAAGGTCAAGAGATTGAGACCATCCTGGTCAACATGGTGAAACCCCGTCTCTACTAAAAATACAAAAAATTAGTTGGGCGTGGTGGCACGTGCCTGTAATCCCAGCTACTCGGGAAGCTGAGGCAGGAGAATTGCCTGAACCCAGGAGGCGGAGGTTGCGGTGAGCCGAGATCGCGCCATTGCACTCCAGCCTGGGTAACAAGAGCGAAACTCCATCTCAAAAAAAAAAAAAAAAAAAAAAGTAAAAATTGAGGCCGGGCATGGTGGCTCATGCCTGTAGTTCCAACTACTCAGGAGGCTGAGGCATGCAAATCACTTGAACCTGGAAGGCCAGAAGTTTCAGTGAGCCAAGATTGTGTCACTGCACTCCAACCTGGGTGATAGCTCACAAAAATAAATAAACAAATTTTTAAAATAAAAAATAAATACGCCAGGCATGGTGGCTCACGCCTGTAATCTCAACATTTTGGGAGGCTGCAGTGGTTGGATCAACTGAGGACAGGAGTTCAAGACCAGCTTGGCCAACATGGTGAAACCCACCTCTACCAAAAATACAAAAATTAGCCGGGCGTGGTGGTACACGCTTGTACTCCCAGCTACTTGGGAGACTGAGGCAGGAGGATCACTTGAACCCCGGGGGCAGAGGTTGCAGTGAGCTCAGATCGTGCCATTGTACTCCAGCCTGGGTGACAGAGCGAGACTCCATCTCGAAAAAACAACCAAACAAAAAAAGAATATATAAACATAGGTGGGCCAAGTAGAAGAAGGAAAGCAAGAGATGAAGCCCAGGACCACATAACAAAGACCCTCAAGCAAATGCCCGGCTTTAGAGTTTGGACTTGATCCTAAGAGCTGCGGGGCACCACAGAAGATTTCAGAGCCAGGGAGTGCCACGACCAGATTGCACAATCCCCTACCCTTTGGACAAAATGGGCTGGTGACAGCCTCCTACACACAGAAAGACTCCAGGAGAAGTGCCCCGTTCGGATGGAAAGTTTCTAAATTGCTACGTCACTGGAAACTCCAGGCTAGATGCCTGTCAGTGGGAAGTGATGTCAGCTGGGTCAGGGACTGCTCCCAGCGAAACAGAGAAGGGAATGGAGGGAAAAGGAAGAACCATCACCTGCTACAAAGCAGTGTGCATCCACACACACCCCTTGTGAGGCAGCATGATGTAATGGGAAAACAGAAGCCCAGGGCCACCACTGGTGGCCAGTGGTGGCAGGAACTCAGCCACAGCTTGACCCTCCGTGGGCTGAACTTTCCTTACTTGTGATGGTAATACAAGAGAAAGAGGAATTAAACTCTAAGGTGCCTTCCAGTTTAGACATTTTTGTTCCATGACAGTGCCATATCTTAAGGTCCTGACCAATCAGCATTTAACTTGACCCTTGATTTATTTTATTTATTCTTTTTGAGAAGGAGTCTTGCTCTGTTACCCCAGCTGGAGTGAAGTGGCATGATCTCGGTTCACTGCAGCGTACACCTCCCGGGTTCAAGCGATTCTCCTGCCTCAGCCTCCCAAGTAGCCAGGGCTACAGGCATGTGCCACCACTCTCAGCTAATGTTTTGGTATTTTTAGTAGGCAGGGTTTCATCATGTTGGCCAGGCTGGTCTCGAACTCCTGACCTCAAGTGATCCGCTCTCCTCGGCCCCTCAAAGTGCTGGGATTACAGTCGTGAGCCACTGTACCCAGCCTCAACCAGACCCTTTAAACAGGGTCAGGGCACAATACAGATCTTGAGGGGATGAGTCACTACCAAGGCCTCCTGCTAAGTCCACAGCTTTTTCTCAACATGGACAGGTAATAATACCTGGTAGAACATTTAGGAAACAAAATCAAAGTCCCCATGATCATCCCACTTGGAGGACCCCAAGGAAACCACCAGTTCTATTTTGGTGTCTAATCTTCCAGACTTGTTCTACAGACACGAAAACATGTACGAAGGTCAGCAGGACAGTAGCGGCTGTTCAGAGGCCAGATCTTGGGATTCAGGGCCTGGGTTCAAATCCTGTCTCTGCTGCTTACTTGGTGTGTGTTTAGAGAAGGCCTGGTCATCTCTCCCGGAACCCCAGTTTCCTCATGTGTCAAACAAGAATAACAGTAGCACCCGCCTCAGAGATTGTTGCAAGGATTAGATGAGTTATATGTACAGAAGCACTTCGAACAGTGTTCGACACACAATAAACATGATATAAGTGTTAGCTGTAAGTGTTAAACTATCTACACTCTATGAAAACTTGTTTCATAGCCAGGTACAGTGGCTCATGCCTGTAATCTTGGCACTTTGGAAGAACGATGCAGGCAGATCACTTGAGGCCTGTCTCTTTATTTTATTTATTTATTTATTTTTGAGATGGAGTCTCGCTCTGTTGCCCGGGCTGGAGCACAGTAGCACGATCTCGGCTCACTGCAACCTCTGCCTGCCAGGTTCTTGCAATTCTCCTGCCTCAGCCTCCTGAGTAGCTGGGAATACAGGTGCCCACTGCCACTCCCGGCTATTTTTTTTTTTTTTTAATTTTAGTAGAGATGGGGTTTCACCATGTTGGCCAGGCTGGTCTTGAACTCCTAAGATCAGTCAATCCGCCCACCTCGTCCTTCCAAAGTACTGGGATTACAGGCATGAGCCACCGCACCCTGCCAATTTTTGTATTTTTAGTAGAGATGGAGTTTCACCATGTTGGCCAGGCTAGTCTCGAACTCCTGACCTCAAATGATCCGCCCACCTAGGCCTCCCAAAGTGTTGGGACTACAGGCGTGAGCCATCACACTCGGCCTGTTTTTTATTTTTAGTAAAGTCAGGGTCTCACTATGTTGCCCAGGCTGGTCTCAAACTCCTGGCTTCAAGAGATGTTCCCACCTCAGCCTCCCAAAGCACTGAAATGACAGGTGTGAGCCATGGCATCCGGCCTGAAAATGTTTTTATCCCCAGTGGTTAACAGAACAGGGACTATCATTCTTGAGCTCCTAAATCCTGCAGGAGTTCACCTGAGGCAGTAGAAAACCTTGCCTATCTTCAAAGTCCTCCAGAGCAGAGAAGGCACAGCCTCCTGAAATGCCGCATCTTAGAATCAAACGCCCTTTCTCCAGACTAACCACAGCCCTCCCTGAGTGGGTGATGAGGAAAGCCCTAACTTGACCCTTTTCAAACGGCTGAGTCTCCTAAGCCTCTCAGCAACTCTGTGAAGGTGCTTCATGGATGAGGAAACCAAAGGCTCAGAAAGAGGCAGTCACCTGACTGACGTCACACAGCTGGGCAGGGGCAAAGCAGGATTGTGCGCAGAGGCTGGCACATGCATGAGTGAACGAGACAGGGAGTGGTCACAGAGGAGCCCCTGCGTGGAGCCCATCTGCACATGCCTGGGGCCGAAGCTGTAGGAAGCCCATTTTACACAGGCTAAGGCAAATCCCAACAGAGGCAGCTGCCATCGCAGGGGTGGCCTGATTATCTGCCAACAAGGGTTGGGTCCGAAAGAGCACGTGACTGCCTGTGGCTGCGGAATCTTTTGAATCACTGTAGCATTCTCTCTACCCTCTCCCGGTACCACCATCAGCTGCGAAGAACCATCTTCTTTCTAAAATGACCCCGCCCACCCCGACTTTTTAGGACTGAAAGGACAATCACAGTCACTTGTTCATTTGGCTAAAGAGGAAACCGGAGCACTGGGACTGGGCCTGGAACAGCGGGCTGGGCGCACAGCTGACTCCAGTTGTGATCCAATGTGGGAAGCGGGCTGACCGCAGGCTCCAAGCCAGCTCCAGTGGCTGAGAGTGGGCAGCCCACATCCTCACCTCACCAAGGCCTGGCAGCTCATTATTCACTCTGGCATCTGCCCTCTAGCCAAGCACTGTCCCAGGCTCTGGGAATACAGTAGTTGAAAACTAGATGGGTAAGGCCCCTGTCCACATGGTGCTTCCACTCCATAGGGAGACAGGTGGAAACAATTAAGGAACGAGGGCCATCAAAGGCTGTGAAGTGGAATGAGGAAAATGAAACACGGTGATGGGCTGGAGAGGAATAGGGGCCAGGAAAGGCCTCTCCATTTCAAAGGAGGTGCCATGGGAGCTTACCTGAAGGATTATGACAAACCGAATAATACCCTTGGAAAACATTCACATCCTAAGCCCCGAGACCTGTGAATATGGTACCTTATGTGGCAAAAGGGACTTTGCAGATTAGATTAAACTAAGGATTCTGAGATAAGATTATCCTGGATTCTCTGGGTCTGGCCAAGGTAATTACCAGGGTCCCTGTAAGGGGGAGGCAGGAACATCAGATTCAGAGAAGAGATGACGGCAGAAGCAGGGGTCACAGACACAGATGTGATGACACTACACCAGTGGCCTTGAAGATGGAGGAAGGGGCCACAAGCCACGGGATGCTGCCAGTCATCGGGAAGCCCCACAGGCCTCGGGAAGCCAGTCAAGTCAAGGAGACCTACTCCCTGCTAGAGCCGCCCTGAGTTAGGACTCTGACCTCCAGAATGCTGAGATAATAAACTTGCGGGGTTAGAGGCCACAAACTTTGTAGTAATCTGTAACTACAGCAGGAGGAAACTAACAGACCAAAAAGCCAGCCCCGGGTAACACAGGGAAGAAAGTCCCAAGTGGAGGGAATAGCACATGCAGAGGCCCTGTGTCTGGCCGGGGGACATCAGTGTGGCTGAAGCCGGAGAGTGACGCTGGGTGTGGAAGGAGAGGAAGTCAGAGAGGCCAGCACTGGGCAGATGTGTCAGACCTGACAGGCCTGACAAGGCGTACAGAACATAATCATCCCAGTGGGAAGGCTCAAACAGGTATTCTCCAAAGATGTGCAGCAGGACCCGGTGGCTCACACCTGTAATCCCAGCACTTTGGGAGGCCAAGGCGGGTGGATCACTCGAGGTCAGGAGTTTGAGACCAGCCTGACCAACATGGTGAAACCCTGTCTCTACTAAAAATACAAAATTAACCGGGCATGGTGGCACGTGCCTGTAATCCCAGCTACTCAGGAGGCTGTGACAGAACTGCTTGAACCCACAAGGTGGAGGTTGCGGTGAGCCAAGATCATGCCACTATACTTCAGTCTGGGCAACAAAAGACTCTGTCTCAAAAAAAAAAAAGAAAAAAAAAAGGTATGCAAATGGTCAATAAGCACAGGAAAAGATGCTCCCAGCATTAGTCATTAGGGAAATGCAAATCAAAGCACAGTAAAATGCCACTTCGCAGGTGACTACCATCAAAAAGGTGACAATAAGGCCAGCCATGGTGGCTCACATCTATAATCCCAGCACTTCGGGAGGCTGGGGTGGGCGGATCACCTGAGGTCAGGAATTTGAGACCAGCCTGCCCAACACGGTGAAACCCTGTCTCTACTAAAAATACAAAAATTAGTCAGGCATGGAGGCACACGCCTGTAATCCCAGCTACTCAGGAGGCTGAGGCAGGAGAATCGCTTGAACCAGAGAGGTGGAGGTTGCAGTGAGCACATCAGGGAGTGACAGCACCGTAGGTCACTCCCCGGGACCCGGGTGGGAGTCCCTCTGCGGCTCGGCCACCAAGCCCCCGCGCACTTTCCCGCGCTGTCTGCAGGACGAGATCGAGGCTGGCACTTCGCAGGCCGTTGTGGGCTGGATGGACGACCTGGGGCCGTCGCCGAGCCAGCAGCGGTGACAGGAGGGCTCCCGCACCGACCGTTCTCTGGACTCAGGGCGCAGTGGCAGCGGCCCCTGCTCAGCGACAGAGCTCCCGATAGACGTCCTCAGAGACCACTCGGATCGGACCCGCTTAACCCAGGTGCCCGAGGGGGCTTGGCCGCCGGCTGCAGCCGGGATCGCTGCGGGCACCGCTCGCCCTGGCCCCTCCCCACCCCGGGCTGCACTCACCGAACTCCATCCAGTCCCACTCGCTGAGCGTGTCCATGTTGCGGCACAGGTCGTCCAGCACCCAGGAGGGCAGCTGGTAGATGTACCAAGCCATGGCGCGCTGCGGAGCCGGCTCTGGCGCCTGGCGACTGGGTCGGACACCAGGGCTCCGACTTCTCTAGCCGGGGGCAGACCGGCGGGGAAGTGGGCGGGGCGGGAGGGCACCAGCGCCCCCAGCGGCCTCCGGCGGCACGATGGCCCCGCGGGCTCCACCCCAGCGCCGGCCAGAGGATCCAAACTGCTAGGGGACCCTAAGGCCCTGCGGGGAGAAGGCCACACGGGAATTCCGCCGCAGCGGCAGGCAGCCCTCTGACTCCACTTCCAGCGGCGCTACATCATGTAGCATGCGCTCATCAAATACTCCATTCATTACCTGCTGTATGCCAGGCACTGCCCAGGTGTTGGCGATACCTAAATAAGAAAGCCTCCCGCCGGGCGCAATGCCTCACACCTGTAATCCCACGTCTGGCCAACGTTGTGGAATCCCCATGTCTGCTAAAAATACAAAAATTAGCTGGGCGTGGTGGTGGTTGCCTGTAATCCCAGCTACTTGGGAGGCTGAGGCAGGAGAATCACTTGAACCCAGGAGACGGAGGTTGCGGTGAATCCAGATCGTGCCATTGCATACCGGCCTGGGTGACAAGAGCAAGACAGAAAAGAAAAGAAGAAAGAAAGGGAGACGAAGGAGAAAGAGAGAAAGGAAGGAGAAAGAGAGAAAGAAAGAAAGGAAAGGAAGAAAGGAAGGAAGGCAGACAAACAAAAAACAGAAACAAACAAAAAAATAAGAAAAATAAACATAAAGCTGGGTGTGGTGGTGCATACCTATCTATAATCTCAACACTGTGGGAGCCACTGCCCTAACCCAGGTGTTCAAGACCAGTCTGGGCAACATGGCAAGACCCTGTCTCTATTACAATTTAAAAAATAAAATATTTGGCCAGGTATGGTGGCTCATGCCTGTAATCCCAGCACTTTGAGAGACCAAGGTGAGTAGATCACTTAAGTTCAAGAGTTTGAGACCAGCCTGGCCAACATGGTGAAATCCTGTCTCTGTGAAAAATACAAAAATTAGGCCTGGTGGTGGGCACCTGTAATCCCAGCTACTTGGGAGGCTGAGGCAGGAGAATTGCTTGAACCAGGAGGGGAAGGTTGCAGTCAGCCAAGATTGTGCCACTACACTCCAGTCGCAGCAACAGAATGAGATTCTCCCTCTTGGAAAGATCGATAAACCTCTATCCTACCCTTGCAATCTTTTTTTTTTTTTTTTTTTTTTTTTTTGGTAGATGGAGGTCTCACTGTATCGCTGAGGCTGGTCTCAAACTCCTGTCCTCCAGTGATTCTCTAGCCTCAGCTTCCCAAAACGCTGAGATTGCAGACTTGAGCCATGGCAACTGGCCCACTATCCTTTCTAATGGCTTAGCTGGAGTGCCATTCTTAATTTGGCCAATCTCCCCTGGATATACATTTACTTCCATTACTGGAGTCTGTTCCAGAGGGATCTGCTTTCTGCATCTATCAGAGGAGTGGAAGGCCTGGAGTCTGCCAAGTATAAACCAGTATTTAGAAAAGTTGCCTCAGAGGCACATCAGACCCTCTCAAAATCCTCCCTACTGCCTGGCGTTGCTCCAGGACAGGGTAACCCAGACCTGCTGGAACAGCCCTCATATGGTTTGGCTGTGTCTCCACCCAAATCACATCTCGAATTGTAATCCCCATAATCTCCACATGTCATGGGAGGGACCCAATAGGAGGTGAGTGAATCATGGGAGTGTTTTCCCCCATGCTGTTCTCATGATAGTGAATGAGTTCTCATGAGATCTGATGGGTTTTGTTTTTTGCTTTTTTCCCCCCTATCTCCAGTATCAGGTATAAGCATGAGATCTGAAGGTTTTATAAGCATCTGGCATCTCTCCTGCCGCCCTGTGAAGAGGTGCCTTCCACCACAATTGTAAGTTTCCTGAGGCCTTCCCAGCCATGTGGAACTTGTCAATTAAACCTCTTCTTTATAAATTACCCAGTCTTGGGTATTCCTTCATTACAGCATGAGAACAGACTAATACAAGCCCTTACCACAGTTTCTATCTGAGGTTTCTGAGCATGGGATAGCTATAGCAAGGGTTCTCAAAATTCTTGGGTTGGGCATAGGTAATGAACACACTCCTACAAGGGAATAACCACCATCTCATGTCACTCCCCATCAAGGAAATTGCTAAACTGTCCCTTGCCAGATTAATTCTCCTCCAATTTAAGATGAAATGGTTCAGTAGGACTTCCTCCCAGCCTTTCAGTAACCCTAGCTCTGTTATTAACATTTGTGGGTCCAGCCCCAAGCCTCTAGGATTCAGCTTTTCCCAACCAGAACGAAACAACCTTTCATGTTTTTCCATCTGACAGACAGGGAGAGAGCCTATTGCCATTAGCTTGTATGTCAAGCAGAATTATTATTTTCCTGCGGTTTCATGTTTTCAGTTTTGAAACAAGTTTTGTGGATTTTTCTCCCTCTCATATATCCAGTGCTATTGCCCAATCCTTCTCATGACCATCATGCGTGTACCTCATTTTTCTGTGACCTGCCAATGGATTACTGGGTGTGTGTGGTGAGGGGTGGGAGCAGGAAAATATTTTGTTGGGGCAGATAGTTTAGGTGAGTGGAAATAAAGGGGAAAAACAAGTTGAGTATCCCTCATTGGAAATGCTTGGGACTGGAGGTGTTTCCGATTTCAGATTTTTTTTTTTTTTTTTTGGAATGTATGCATATATATAATGAGGTATCTTGAGGGTGGGACCCAAGTCTAAAGGTGTGGGAAGTAGAAAAGTTCCCCTTTAAAGTTTCCTTTCTTGTTAAAGAATAAATCGTAAGTGTGCTAATAACTTTGTGAAGCCCTATCCTATGTAGTTGTTAGACATGCCATGCTTACAGGCACGTAGTACATTCTATGTCCTTGTACTTTAACCAAGATATCTGTGCTGGACCTGCCCAGCTCGCTATTGCTTTTACCTGTTTAGAAAAGTTTTAAGTTGTAAGCCAATCGGGTTTTACTTTAGATTGTGAGGTCTGGCTCTAGCCAACAGAGATCAGACACAGCAGTAAGGACCCCAAATGCATAAGGGATAAATATGTCTAGTTTTCCTTTGTTCATTGTATTCTTGTGACAAAATGGCTAGCAAGAGTACCCTTCCTGAAGTCCAGGAAGTAAAAATTGCTTGCTGAAAGATCCTTTGTCTCAGTGCTAATTTTTCTTTGAGGCACTGAGCATCTATTTCCAACAAAAGGCAAAATTCATTAAACTTTGTGTTTCAGAGACAAACACTATGTTTTCCCTCTAGATTTCACACTAACACAATACCAACACAGAATGCTTTTGTGTCCAAATGTGTAGATTTCTCCCTGCCAGAAGCAAGCAATCTATTCTGTATTGAACGCCAACTAGGTGTCCTCTAATTCACTTCCAACACCATCTGTCTGGAAATAATATCCGATCCTGCAAGTTGAGGGCTCAGTCCCCAGGACTTGGCCCCACCCCCACACCAGTAGCAAGTCTGGGTATCCAGAACTTCTGACCAGCCAGCTTCAAGTTGGTGTTCCCACAACCCTCTCTTTGGGTTTAATTTGCTGGAGTGGCCCACGGAACTCAGAGAAACATGTTTACCAGTCTTTTATTTTTTGAGACAAGGTCTTGCTCTGTCAACCAGGCTAGAGTGCAAACTGAGCAGCTGGGACTGCAGGCATGCACCACCATTCTTGGCTTTTTTTTTCCTAGTAGAGAAGGGGTCTCACTATCATGCCCAGGCTGGTCTTGAGCTCCTGGGCTCAAGCAATCCTTCTACCTCAGCCTCACAAAATGCTGGGATTATATGTGTAACCCACCACACCCAGGCTGCCAGGTTTATCATAAACGATATTACAAACGATACAGATGAAGAGATGCATAGGCCAAGGAATGGGGTAAGAGACGCAGTTTCCATGCCCTCCCTGGGTGCACCGCCCTCCAGGAACCTCTACATGTTCAGGTAACCTGATGCTCTCTACAGTCCTCGTGGGTTGGTTTGTTTGTTTTGAGACAGAATCTCACTCCATCACCAGGCGCCAGGCTGGAATGCACTGGCGCAACCTTGGCTCACTGCAACCTCTGCCTCCCGGGATCAAGCACTTCTCCTGCCTCTGCCTCCCGAGTAGCTGGAACTACAAGCACGTGCCACCACACCCAGCTTATTTTTTTTCTATTTTTAGTAGAGGCGAGGTTTCACCATGTTGGCCATGATGGTCTTGATCTCTTGACCTCGTGATCCGCCCGCCTCGGCCTCCCAAAGTGCTGGGATTACAGGTGTGAGCCACTGCACCTGGCTGTCCTTGTGGGTTTTAACGAGGCTTCATGATGTCACCATGCCTTCCCCCAAGGTATGAGGTGGGACGTTCTCTGAAACGAGGGCTGTATTCCTGGAGTTTTGGGAGGCCCAGGTAGGAGGACTGCTTGAGCCCAGGGGTTCAAGACTAGCCTGGGCAACACAGGAAGACCCCACCTCTACAAAAAACTTACAAATTAGCCAGGCAGGGAGCCATGGTGGCTCAGGCCTGTTGTCCTGGAGCATGAGATGAGGCTAGGTGTTCAAGGCCAGCCTTGGCAACACAGAAACCTTGAAACCTCTCATCCATTAAAAAAAAAAAAAAAAAAAAAAAAAAAAAAAAAAATTGCTAGGCACAGTGGCTCACACCTGTAATCCCAACACTCTGGGAGGCTGATTGAGGCGGGTAGATCACCTGACATTGGGATTTTGAGACCAGCCTCACCAACATGGAGAAATCTCTGCTAAAAATACAAAGTTAACCAGGAGCGGTGGCACATGCATATAATTCTAGCTAGTTGGGAAGCTGAGGCACAAGAATCACTCAAATCCAGGAGGTGGGGGTGAGCCGAGATCATGCCATTGCACTCCAGCCTGGGCATCAAGAGCGAAACTCCTCAAAAAATAAAAAGTTAAAAAAAAAAAAAAATTGAGCCAGGCAAGGTGGCTCACATCTATAACAAGGACTACGGGAGCTGAGCCAGGAATAAAAAAAGAAAACATATACTTCATAACACCAGTTCCATATGTTATACACACAGCCTGAAGGTAATTTTAAGCAATGTTTTCCGTAATTTTGC